CTACACGAACTTCCACCCTGGGCACACTTCAGGCTGACTCCACTCTGCTCCCAAACCAGCAGAGCATGGTTGGGCAGAGCCAGCAGCCCTGCCTGCAATCAGAGCTCAGTCAGGCACTTTTAGACCCCTATAAATAACAGCCCTGGAGCACCCTTCTTCCTTGAGGTTGTGCAATTCCATCCTGGAAAGCACTCAGACCTGCACCATGGCCCAGTGAACAGAAGTGGTTTTACTGGTCAGAGATCCTGCAGAAACAAAGTGATGGCCCCAGTGTTGTTCAACCAAAGAAAGGGAGGTTCCAGCACCAGGAACCTCCTGCCAAGGCTCAGGAACACCCTGAGATATTGAAACTCTGTTTTGGGTTAGAAGCAAGGTGGAAAAGGGAAGGAAACATCCTAAACAAAACCCAGGTCCTCTGGGATATGAAATATTTCAGAATAAAACACGAGGAAAAGTCAAGTTGAGAGGAAGGTCTAGACACTGAGAGTAAGGACAGGCTGGAGAGCAGAGGAAGCTGCTTCTCCCAGGTCAGTTCCTCTTCACAGAGGCTCTGCCAGCCTCAGGACATCACTCAGCACCCTCAGGTCTGCAACATGCCATGGTTCCCATCTGCTGTTTGCTGAGCCACAGGCACTGACAGCACCCCAGGTGCTCTTGCAGTGTTGGGCTCCCTTACCAAGCCCCCAAACCCCACATGTATCCAGGACACATCCAAGCTGAGCCAGGGTCACTGGTAAGAGCCTTGGCTCTGTGCTCCAAATAACTCAAAAGATCTTCTTGGGATCTTCCAAGAGCAGCCTCAGAGGCAGCAACCCCAGGCTCCAGGGCTGCTTGTGTGTTACCCTCATGGATAAACAAACACCTGAACTGCTCTGTGTGCCCTCCTTCCTCCTGCTGTTGGTGCATAAACTCAACCACTGTGGTCCCCACACCAGCCATGCCAGTGCAAAGCAATGTCACCCAGCTTAATGTGTGAGCTCAGTCCTGAAGAGACAGGAATGAATTAATATTTTCCCATCTCCTCCAAGCAGGAATGCACAGGAGCTCACCTGAGTTCTTACCCTGCCAACTACTCCTGATGAGGCTCCTCTTCCCACCACTATGTTCTCACCCTGAAGAAGGAAAAGGAACCAGGCCATGTCCAAAATAAAATAATAAAATCCACATTACCTTTGCCCCTGGGCAGGAAACCTAGCAGCTGATCATCATCTTCCTTTGAGGAGACAAAGCAGTTCAACAACAAATCACATGGCAGCAGTAGGGGTGAGAAATGAAGAACCTGATGAACTTTCTGTCCAGGATCAGCATCTTGGAGTCACAGCAGGCAGCTCTGGTCTCAGGGTAACACAGAGCTGGGAGCCCAGGCTGGATGGAGCTCCCTTCAGCCTATCCCTGTGGTAAATACTAAAACTGCTCCCATGGGCTGCCTCTGCAAGCAGAGGGAGCAGGGTCTGAGGGCACACACAGAGCTGTGCAGGCACTGAGCAGTGCCCCAGTGCCCTCCCCCAGCTCCCCCCAGCCCTGGCACACTGGCACAGGATGAGCTCTGTGTCAGCTCTGCCCTGCCTGCCTGGGTTTGGGGCTCTCTGCCAGCTGGGCTGCAGCCAAGGCAGCAATTCCAGTGCTCCAAATTCCAGAGCTGGAGCAGCTTCCAGCTCTGCCTGCCAGCCTTAACCCTTTCAGCACTGCCCCTCTCCCACAGCACAGTCACCCCTCTCTGTGTCCCAGAGCATCCAGAAGGGTGGGACAGGGGGTAGCAAACCCATCAGGAATCCAGAGCAACTTGGCATCAGTGAGGATGGAGGAATAGCACAGGAACCTCCTGAGATACAGACACTGAGGGCTTTACCTGTGTTCCTGCTTCCCTGTGCTCAAGGTGAAAGTATTTCCATGCCCTCCACAGTACCACATGAAACACAGGAGCAGACTTAAGGGACATTGGTGTCTCTATGTGTGTGTGTGTGTGGGCAAGGTCCCTTCAGGCTGCTTTGATTGTGGCTGTCCTGTGCTGGGCCAGGAGCTGGGTTTGATGATCCCTGTGGATCCCTTCCAGCCCAGGATGTTCTCTGACTCTAAACCCTCTGAGCAGAGCTCCCAGCCAGCACTCAGAACTCACTGAACAGAAAGTCCACTTCACCTTATATTCCTAAAAGGTGTGCACAGATGGGTATTTAAGGTACAGATATGTATTTAAAGGTTAAAAAGTACATGTAAGAGGCATGAAAAGACATGTAAGGTGCTATACACCACATATGAGGAGTGGAGCAGGGATTCCTGGCCAAAGGACATCCCTGGGAGCACCCCAGGTGTGGGTGGGGTGCTGAGGGAAGTTTGCTGCACACACACAGAACTCCCCTCCTTTGGGACAGCCACTGGGACCTGCCCCCCCAGGCTGAGCTGGAGAAGCTGTGGGTGCACAGGATGAACTCCCCCACATTCTGCCTTGCTCTGTAGCCCAGCAGAGCCAACATCCATCCCTAGCCTGTGACCAACATGGAGAGAGGACCAGGACCCACCACAGGCACACCCAGAGCTCCATTTCCCCTGTGTGATGTGTTGATTTGGATCCCCCAGCTCCAAGGTGAGCAGCATGCAGACAGGAGCACCAGGAGATGCCCAGGAGCCCACAGCCACTGCACAGGCAGCAGGCAGCACTGGAATTACCAAGCAGGCATGCAGGCTGCTCCTCTCCTTGCTGTCTGACCTCCCTTTCCTCCTTTAACACATAATGAAAGCACCATGGAGTGGCTGGGCCCCAGCTCCAGCAGCTCCAGCTCAGCAAACACTGCTGGGACTGGGAGGCCCTGGGGATGGAGAAGGACCATGGGAGATGGAGAAGGACCATGGGAGATGCAGAAGGACCATGGGAGATGCAGAAGGACCATGGCTGGGAGAAGCCCTGCACTCCTCCACCTCTGCTGGCAGGCAGCAGTAGAGCCAGATCAGAGCTGACTGGAGTTACCAGCATTAAATAAACATGCCTGCCCTCTTTGAAGTTGTGCTTCCCTTGAACATGAGCTCATTCCACGAGGCTTCTTTTTGCTACTCATTCTCCATGGAGTTAACTCTTCACAGGATTCCCCACCTTCCACAAGGGCCAAAGTCAGCCCAGTAAATGAGCACAGAGCAGTTTCTCACAGCAGCAGCTACTGCCTGCATGCCTCTCCAGTTCTCTTTAAGAGGAATTCCCACCAGGAAAGGGAAACTGCCTGACTCCAGCACATGGTGCTGCAGGCTGGCACATGGAGAAGGTTTATTGGAGCTCAAGGAAAAGGCAATTCCTCTGTGGTGATGCATCCTCCCACCCTGCCAAGAGCAGCACTCTCAGGTCTGTGTTCAACCCTCCACCAGAGCAGGGCTGAGGAAACACAGGAGGAATTTCATTAGAGAAAGCTCCCAGCACTCTGTTCTTTTGGTTTAATCCCACAAAGTGCAAGTCAGAAATTCTCGGTCAGGAGAGGGAGCAGTCAGTCACAGAGGGAGAAGCAAAAGCACAAAGACAAGGCTGATCTCAACTCCCTGGCATTTCTGCATGTCTCATGCAACCCCTGCTCTTGTCCCAGGAGGTGAAAAAAATTACAAAAAGAGCAGAAATTTTCCTGAGGGTGAGTGGGGAGATGTGACTTCTTGGGGGTCACTATTTTTGTACACGAGCAGGAAGTGCAGAGTGACTGCACATGGAACTGATGGGAAAGGGAGAAGCCATCCCAGCCACCTGCCAAGGGGTGGCACAATGGGATCTTGGTTCTGGATAACTGACTGGTCTCTGCTCACTCACAGCTTCAGCCCCTGGCAGATGAAGTGAGGAGGAGGCTGGGGAGGAACAGAGCTGCCTGTGCTGGGGCTGAGGGTCAGACAGGTTCCCACTTCTCCTGAGGAAGCTTCCACCATTCTCCTGAAACCTTCCACCCCCTGATTATTGCCAGGAAAGCTCCTACCAAACACAAACACATCTTGAGCCACTCGTGCAGTACTGAGAGACACCCTGGAGATGCCTGTGAGAGCACCAGGGCACCACTGGAGCAGTCAGCCACTGCCTGAGAGGGCCCCAGTGCTCAGCTGGGACACAACAAGCAGCAAGAAGAGAGGGAGAGGCTGGGAACAGCAAGGCAAAATGTAGAAATTCAAGGTAAAGAGGAATCATCAGCCAAGGGAAGCTCACAGCTTGGCTTGCACACACATCACCTCAGGCAATGCACTGAGACCAGCCCTGCAGCCCTGAGCACTGACCTGGCCCATGCCAGGGACCCAGGGCAGCACCAGCCTGACAGGGCAGCACGAGCTGACCCAGGACTTTCAAAGGGAACAGTCTTGTCAGAGAAATGCCTTTCCTAAGCAATCCTTCAGCTCTGGCAGACAGGCTGCTCTCCTGCCCCTCATTTCATTGACAAGCCTTGTGCAGGGCTTGCCAGCCAGAGGGGTGTGCCTGGGGACAGTGACAGCCCCCTGAGCCCAAACACAACTGTGATGAGAGATAGCTTGAGACAGGTCTTGAGAATCAAACCAGTCATCAAACCCATTGCTGGCCATCAAGTTCCCCAGCACTGCTCCCACCCAACAATCATAGCCCTAAGAACAAGACAGGCACAACCTGCTCCACACCTGCTTTGTCCACGTTCACAGCAAAGAAAACTGCCCCAGGTCCAAAGAGGAGCAGTCCTGCAGCTTCACACTTCTCACTATTCCCCCTGAGAAAAACTACACAGCAAAATGTGGTTCAAAGGCACAGGAAACACTTCAAGGGAATTCCTGGAGAGGAGCAGAACCTCAGCAATGTTGTATACAGCACCTTCCCTCCCCAGAGCCATCATCCTGCCCAGCTTTATGGACAGCCACTCCTCAGCACCCTGGTGCCAGTGCTATAGCTCTGATCACCTTTACCATGCACAAAAACCACACAGAGCACCCAGGTGTCCTTGCTGCCAGTCTCTGCCTGCTTTGCTGCTCTTTGAGAGCTGAGTGGAGGAGCCAAGCCAGCTAAAAAACAACGTGGGCCTTACCTTTTGTACCAGGGGGCTGCAGATTATCTCCAGTCAGCGAACACCAGCCTACGGGAAAGATGTCCCGGGAATCATATCGGCACCAGTAATCGAAGGCACCTCTCCAGCCATCAAATGTTATCAGGACCTCAGAACCTCTCACCTCCCCAATGGTGGCCGGGCAGATGAAGTGAGGGTTCTTCCTGTCCACTGCCTCCAGCTTCATACCTGTCTTGAAGAAGTTTTGGGAAGGAGATGGTGGTTCCTACAAGAAGAAGTGGAATATGTGCTCAAAGGGGATATGGCAGCGCCTCCCCACACCAGGGCTGTGCCCTCACCAGCAAACTCAACTCCACAAGGAGCTGAAGGGAGTTGGTGGGCTGGATTTGAACCCCAATAGGCTACACAGCCACTGCCCTTTGATCAAGAGGCAGCAAAGTCCACTACTCACTGCTGGACCGAACCCAGGAGTGGGACATTCCACAGAGGTGCTGATGTTCCCACCCTGCATTCCCCACAATGAGCAGCACCTGCAGCTCCAGTGAAAAACCAGCTCCTGCCTCAAGCCTGAGCCCTGAAGCCCAAACACTTCCTTGGCAGACCTCTGGCTACATCCTGACACTGCTATGACACAGCTCTGTCCTAGAGCAGCCCTGAGCTGTGCAGTGTCACCTGCTATGGGACCAGCACATCTCTGATGAGACACCAGCCCTGAGTCTGCCAGAAGGATCTGCACAAACAGGGAAATACCTTGTGAAAAATCCGGACAGGAGCCATCTCTGCTCCATTCAGAGTCTTCAGAAGGAACATGGGCCAGGAGGAGGCATTGAGGCGGAAGCCTGAGGGGAGGGAAGAGGAGATGGACACTGTTAGACTCTGGGGGTTGAAGGATCTGGCAGCACATGCCTGCTCTGATGGCAACTCACACAACTGTGATCCCACACCACCCTCCTCCCATGCTGGACTTTAGCCAGATATTCTGAACGCAAAGCATTTGTGTTATTGAAAAGAAACATCTGGAAACAGCTGTCTGACTGCAATATTCACTTATCACAACAATCCCATTGACCATCCAGACTGAGCACTTTGTGCAGCATCAGTGCTGCCAGCTCCTGCTGCAGGGGAGACATGAATCAGCAAGTGCACACTCAGGCTATGGAATTTCTTCCTCAACAGGGAATCACAGCTTCTGGGTGGCCTCCTCTACCTCTAGTGTGAGCTGCAGGCAAGCTAATCTGGAGAAATAGAGGCTGTGATTTGGCTGGAACACATTACAGGGAAGGAAGGCAGGTTTTGGCTTGACACCTGCTGTGAAAAAAGTGGAGAAATAACAAGAGAGGGCTTATGGGAAGAAAAAAGCAATTTCACATGCTCTGAAGTATGTGGCACTGACTATGACTATACAACCAACAGAAGGCTCTGGATATCACAGAGTAGCTTTGCTAAATGTGCATCTTCCTGCACAGGCAATTTCTGCTGCTCAGCTGTGTTTGGGGAGTTTTGAAGGTAATCCTGGCACTGGATCTGGACCAAGAACATGGCAAAACTTTGCCAAGGTTGCAGTGCTCAGCACAGGTCACCCTGCCAGCCCTGAGCTCTGCCAGATCAGCTTGGAAACCAACCCAAGTAGCCACAACCACATAGGATGGGAGAGCTCAGCTCCCACAGTGGCAAAGAAAACATTTTATGCGAATCACAAAATATCCTGGGCTGGAGAGGACCCCAAGGATGATCCAGTCCAACCCCAGGCCCTGCCCAGACCCCCAACCAACCCCACCCTGGCCATCCCTGCAGCACTGCCCAAATTTCTCCCCCATCCTTCATCTCCCCCATCCCTCACTCTCACACAATCATGGAATGTGCTGAGCTGGAAGGGACCCACAGGGATGATCAATCCCAAAGCCAAACCCTGCCCAGAGCCCCCAGCCAGCCCAGCCTGGGCATCCCTGGAGCTCTGGCAGCCTCGGGGCCGTGCCCATTGCCTGGGCAGCCTGGGCAGTGCCAGCACCCTCTGGGGGAAGAGCCTTGCCCTGATCTCCAGCCTGAGCTGCCCTGGCCCAGCCCCAGCCATTCTCTGGCTCCTGTCACTGGAATTATCTGTGTAAAGAAAGAGTGCACATGGAAAATACTACAGGAAAGAGAAAATCCTTACTGGGTTTTCTAGGCCCTTGAACTCTGCAGCAGAAGGACACCTGCAGCACTAGCTCAGTTACCTGTCTTCATGCTGGGTGCAAAATCATCCAGTTCCACTCCCTGGCTATGGGCAGGGACACCTTCCCTGATCCCACTATGCCAGGGCCTCACCAAGCTCACATGGGAGAATTTTTCCCCAACATCTCAGCTAACCGTGGCCTCTCCCCTGGCACAGGGTGACACAGAGCAGAGCCGGGCACACGGGGCAGCACTCCCGGACCTGTTCCCGAGCACAGCCAGGGCTGTTCCACCTGCACCCCGTGCCCTCTGCTGGCCACATCAGGCACAGGAGGGACCCACCGGCCCGCAGGGCTTTGGAAGAGACGGGCAGCAGAATCACTGAATGGTTTGGGGTGGAAGGGCTCAGATGACCAGCGACAGCCACCTGTGCTGAGTCCGTGAGCAGTCACAAGATTTTAGTATCATTCCCTCCTTTCCTTGCTAGCCTTCTGATGAAACCCTTTCTTCTATTCTTTCAGTATAGTTTTAATATATAATTTTCTTTTTTATAATATATATAATAAATAATAAATCAGCCTTCTGAAACATGGAGTCAAGATTCTCATCTCTTCTGCCCATCCATGTCATCAGCTTATTAGTAGGAAGGAGGAAGGACATGATACCAACTCTTTCTTAGCCAATGAATAGGATAAATAGATTATTGGCAATGATTAGGATGAGTATGGTGATTAGGAAGAATAGTAGGTAGGTGAAAAATTTTGTAATGTAGGGGTCTGAGGCCATATATCATGTTGCAAACTGTAGGATAGATCATGATACAAACAGTGCAATGGGGAAGAAGGTAAGAGAGTAGAAGTCTATTTTTAGGCTGATGGGATTTTGAAGTTTTTAATAGGGATTTTGAAGTTTATAATGAATTTTCATTCTCAGAAGCTGGTGAGGCTTTCTGTTCCAGAGTAGAAGCCCCCTCATCCTGGGGCCCCTGCAAACACCACCACACGTGATGAGCCCTGAGTGAGGAACATTCCCACATCCCAAACTTTCCCCACCATCAACTCAACCCTCATTGGCCAGCTCAACTCCAGCTCACCCAGAGGAGGCTGCAGCATCCCTCCATTCTTCTCACAGTTGCCAATGGGCTGGATCTCAGCAGAGTCCACCAGCCTCCAGAAGTCGTTCTTGTTGTCGCTGCCGTCGAGGCGCAGGCGCAGGCGGGCGCCCGTCAGCCCCACCACGGTGGCGATGCACGTGGACGTGGTGTTCCGGGGGTCCTGGGCCTCCAGCTTCATGCTGATCTTGAACTCGTTTGCAGGTGGAGTGTAGGACTGAAAGGAGTGGAACAAGGGCTGTGGTGTTATGTTTTAGTTCAATGGTTTGCTCTGTTTCACCCCTGGAAAATGTAGGGTTTGTTCCAAGCCTGTGATCCTCCCCTGAAGCATCATGGATCTGTAAATTCCATTGGCCCAAGGATTATTCTGTGCTCACTTCGAATCTCCCTGTTAGGTTGTGGGAGGTAGACCAGGCTCTCTCTTGGCTCTTCTCTCCCTATGCTCTCCCTCTCTCCCCCTTCTCCCTCAAACCATGCTGCTCCCAGGGGTGGGACCCCCAATAAACCCTCATCTAATCAACACCCTCAGAAGCCATGTGGAGTCTCTGAAGCAGAGTAGAAATTTTCCAGGGTAGAAATCCATTTTGATTTACGTGAAATGTACATTTTTGAGTTGAGTCTGTGGTTAGAAAACACAGCTATTTAGCCTGACTGCAAAAGCCTAGGCTCAGGGAAACTGCCTTACTGAAGGACAGAGATAAGGGGAGGAAAACAGAGGGTGACAGAGAGAGAGACTGCTGTGAGAGCAGTCAACCTGACCTAGGAATTCCTCCTGATAAAGAAGAACTAGCGGCAAATGTCACGTGAAATTTGTAAAAATGAATATGAACCTATTGTGAAATTGTGTGCATATGTATCTGAGAGGGGGATAAAAAGGGACCTGAAGTCCCCAGAAGTACCCATGTCATTTTAGGGGAATGATTCCCACGTGTGTCCAGCGCTGTAATAAACATACCGGCTTTACAACTTTCACAAAAATTGTGGAGTTTTTATCATCTCTGCAAAACAGCCTGCCTGCTGCTACCAGTGAACACAGAGCTTAGGGGGCTCCCTGGGGACCCTCCAAACCAACAGCAACAAGGGCCAGTCAGACCAGGATTGCCAATGCATGCATGCACCAGCTCAGGCACAAAGCTTCCAGCAGCAGGAGCACCCAATGGGGCCTGCTGGAGGCTGACAGCCCCTCCAGGCACAGCAGAGGCACCACAGGGAACTCAGCCAGCCCTGGCACGTCTGTAACAGACCCCCGTCCTTCCATCCTGCATCATCTTAGGCAACTAAAGCCTGTCCTGTTGGAATCACAGAGTCATTAATGCTGCAAAACACCTCTAGGATCACTAACTTCAGTACTGCCAAGCCCACCACTTATCCAGTACCCCTAAGCACCACAACTACATGTTTTTGAACACTTCCAGGGATGGGGACTCCACCAGTGTCCTGGGCAGACATTTCCATGGCCTGATCACCCTTTTAGTGAAGAAATTTTCCTGATATACAACCTGACCCTCCCCTGGCACAAGTTGAAGCTTTTTCCTCTTATCCTATCCCTTGTTCCCTGGGAGCAGAGCCTGACCCCACCTGTCTCCATCCTCTTGTCATGGAGTTGTACAGAGCCACAAGGCCCCTCCTGAGCCTCCTTTCCTCCAGGCTGAGCCCCTTCCCAGCTCCCTCAGACCCTCCTGGGGCTCCAGCCCCTTCCCCAGCTCTGTTCCCTTCTCTGCACATGCTCCAGCCCAAAACTGTTGTGAGGGGCCCAAAACTGATCTCAGGATCTGAGGTGCAGCCCCACCAGTGCCCAGTGTAGGGGATTAACCCTCTCCTGGGAAGATCACCCAGCCAAACCCAGTCCCACACAGACACTGATGCTCCCTCCTGCCCAGACCCAGGTGTCCCACACTGATTCACTCCCGCACCCCCTGTACTCAGCACAGTCACCTCTGGGCTCAGTACCTGCTGCCCAGGGGCTGCTATTCTCTCAACAATTCACAACAATTGGGTGAATTCTGCTGAAAATCTCCTGATTGAGCAGGATCCACCAAAAGCTGGATCCCAGCCTACTCAGGACACTTTCTCCAAGGGCTTGGCAGAGTTAGTAGCACACTCATGCTCCCAACATGCACATCTGAGAGGAAAATCTTCTGTGCTGCTCTAAGTGCATCTTTTTAATCTTTGCTTCAGCACTTGGATTTCTGCGAAGTCTCCAATATCCTTAAGTATCTTCCTTTCCAAGCCAGGGGTCTATCCCAGGCACAGAACTCCAGGGCCCCCCGTGGACCACAGCCCTTGACCTTTCTTGTTTTCACCCTCTTACCTGCTTGAAGCAATGGGCAGGAGCTGGGATGGCACATGTTTCTTTCAGGTACTTCTCCCACGTGAAGTGACCTGAGAAGTAAAAACAAAAGGATTCAAATAAGAAGGCACGAGCAAAATTCTCAGTAAAAGAACTGGCCAGACTCCTGAGCTGGCAGTTCTGCACTTCTCACAGAGGAGGTGCTCACAGGCAACGTGTTTTCACCAAGAACCTCTGGTGTTTGTGAGCACAGAAGATTTACAACTGCAACTGACAGGCAGAACAAAGCACAGCTCTGCCTTGGGCATCCTCCTGCCTCAGTGCTGCTGAGAAGGGGCTGCACAGAGCCAGGATAACAACCTGCAACTTAATAGAAACCACCCAGCACAGATGGGAATCTGCTGAGTCCTCCAGACAACTGTCCCTCCAAAACCATTCATTAAACACATCACTCAGTCTGGGGACTGCAAACAGTCACTGTGGGCTGTGAGCAGCACAGCTTGGGGGCTGGAATGAGATTATCCTTAAGGTTATTTCCAATCCAAGCCATTCTGTGATCCTATGATTGTAAATTGTGGATTTAGAACAGGAATCTGGTTTGTGGTGACTGGATGGTCCCCCTGGTCCAGCACAGACACAGTCCAGCAATAAGTGGACAGGACAAAAATTAACTTCCTGAAATCCACAGGATGGGAGCAGGGATCCTCCAAACAGGGATTTACTGAGCTCAATACCTCACACCCAACCTCAAGCCCCCTTCCACTGATGTTACTGCCAGGGGAAATGCATTTCATCCTTGCCTGCCCCTTCCTCAGGAAGGGTAGGGGAAGGGAAGGGTAGGAATACAGCAGGAAGGGTAAAAGCAATATGCCACCCAGGGAAACCTGTTATTAAATGAGGAATTAAAAGCTCCTGTGATCTGAGCAAATCATGACTTTTGCCATTTAAACTGAGCAGCTGGGAGAGGAACCTTGCAGCATGACATTCACTTGTATTCATCCAAACAGCTCCCGGGAGACCACTGTTTTCAAGGCATTTCAAGAGCAGTGGTGGCAGCACAATTAAAGTCAGCCACTGCTTCCCTGAGTCAGGCAAGTTCTTAATCAGTCTATTTTCAAAACAAAAGCTACATTAAGAGCCATTTTAGCTACTGCAGCACACACCACACCTCTGAAAACTGAGGCAGTAAGGTCAGCACACACTGCTTCAGTGCTGCCTCGTGCACAGAGGAGCCCTCAGAATCTACAAGCTTCAAATAAATACAAGGAATGCTGCTTTCTCACCACCTCCTATGCAGATGACTAGTACACTGTTAAAAATGGGGAAAATGAACAGAAAAAATACAGTTTCATTGCCACACTGGCTGAATATTGCTGAATGTTGCTGTTTGCAGACTGACAGCCCTCTCCATGCCACAGAGTGCTCAGCTCCATCCACTGGCACATATTTTCATTTCAGCCACAGCCTCACACTGGGTGAATGAAGAAATTCAGTGAGTTACTGCAATGAGGCTCTCACAAAACCAAAATTCTTTTGCTTTAATTGAAGATATGATTTTATACTTGGTTCTGTCAATGAAACTCTTTGTATGAATAATGTGGAGTAAACACGCAGGCAAAGTAAAGCTGGGCACTCCTGGCCTGGAAATGCCTTAACTCCTTAACTCTGGTTGCTGATCTGGGCTCATCTCAGAATGGGGTGGCCCTTCTTGTCCCCAGAACACAGGGGACACCCAGGTGACAGTACTGGGTGAGCAGCGCCAGTGTCAGCCCCAGGCCCTGAGCCAGCAGCCTGAACAGGATCAGCTGTGCTTGATAATTTTATTTAAAAAAAAAACCAAACAATCTCCCCTCAGCTGCTTTCAATCCATCACTATTAAAAGTTGTCATGGTTTTAATCTTCCCACTTTCCACTCCCTCCACACCAAGCCAGGCCATCCTGCTCCCTGCAGCAGCTCAGCCCACAGCCCAGATCCGTGCTGCACAACCCCAGTGGGAGCAGAGAATTTCTGACACAGCTGCAGGCCTCTAAAAATAGTGTTTGGACATGGAACTTATTTGAGATTAATTCTAAAGCCTGCTGGGATTGAACCACTGTATGGAGACACACACAGCACTAGAACTGCAGCTTCTCTAGGACCTGAGGGAACAGCTGGGGCTGGGCCAGGGCAGCTCAGGCTGGAGATCAGGGCAAGGCTCTTCCCCCAGAGGGTGCTGGCACTGCCCAGGCTGCCCAGGCAATGGGCACGGCCCCGAGGCTGCCAGAGCTCCAGGGATGCCCAGGCTGGGCTGGCTGGGGGCTCTGGGCAGGGTTTGGGGTTGGGATTGATCATCCCTGTGGGTCCCTTCCAGCTCAGCACATTCCATGATTGTGTGAGAGTGAGGGATGGGGGAGATGAAGGATGGGGGAGAAATTTGGGCAGCGCTGCAGGGATGGGGTTGTTGGGGGGTGTGGGCAGGGCCAGGGGCTGCACTGGATAATCCTGTGGGTCCCTTCCAGCCCAGGATGTTCTGTGATTCTCTCATTCCTATCACTAATGGTTCTGGTGATTTATTTTGCAAAGAAAAGCAGAAGCAGCAGAAAGACTTCTAAGAAAAGACAGAGCTGATACAGCAGTGTCACTACCAGCCATCCCCATACACACAGAGGGCAGGGCAAGCACAGGTAGAACCTGCACTTCTTCAAGATTACCCTCAGACCAAGGTAAAAACTGCAAACTGCACTTGGAAGCTGCCACCACACCCTTAGCATGAGAGGAAACCCTGCACTTCAGGCCCTTGTCCCAAGTCCTCTCTGACTCTCTCCAGCACATTGGATCGTCTTCACAGGAAGAAACGAGAGAAAGACCCTTAAATGAGAAACACCCTCTTTGCAGCTCCATCTGTGAGCCAAACCAAAGCCAAGGATTGGGAGCCTGTGTCATTCCCTGTGCCTTGGCTGTGGAAATGCCACTGGGGTGACTGTCTGTCACTTGTGCTTGCCTTGGGAAAGCTCCTTGTCGTGTGCTCATGCCAAAGGCAGATATTACTTCCAGGCAGAGAGTCACATTTGGGCTCTGATGTCTTAACCTCCAAAAATATTTACTCCAAACAAAACACTCCACAAACCCAAGGGGTCGAACTGCAGTAGCTGTGAACAATACAGCTCTGCACCCTCATGTTTTGATTTTCTTTATGTTGCACTTAACATTGATCCTTTGCCCAGAATTTAAATGAAGATGGAGTTTGTGTTTATATCTTTAACTGAAGTCTGCTTTGGGCTCCATTAGCATTTTGGCTCCCGAGGGGTCATCAATCCAACCTGAAACAATACATGTGTGTTTCAGGTCACATCTGTGAGGGAGAACGTGCCCTAGCCAGATCAAGGCATCCCATTAAAGTCTGCAGCCCATATGTGTGGCTGCTCAGGAGCACCAAGGCAGCACATGAAAGCAGCAGCACAGTTTGAAAATGAGCAGAGCATGCTCTGGGCTGGCAGATCCCAGTGACAGTGACAGTGGCTGTCCCTGATGTCTGAGCATGGCCTCCTGAGGGTCAGCTCTCCCACAGGCTGTCCCACCCTATAGGAGTGTGCTTTTTGTTGACAGAGTGACAAAACTATCCTCTGTCCCCTCAAAAAGCAAAGAAGCCCAGAAGTTTCTCTCCTCCATTAGGTGAAAAAGCCACCTCATAGGCCTGGGGACTTAAGGATGGCCAATGGGACAGAAGCAAAAAGTCCCACCTGGCCTATTTACTAGAAAAATAAGTGAACAAAGAAACTAATCCCTTTTGTAAGGTGTTTTACCAGGAGCAAGGACCTCTTGCACCTAGCTCAGTTTTCCTCTGTTTGTTATTTTGCCTTTTATTAAACCTTTTTGTTTCCAACACTGCAACAGAAGCCATCCTGCTGATTTTTATGCCTCCAAAAGTAGCTGAGCTATCTTGAATGTGTTATAGGCCTCTGAGAGCTTATGAGACCTGGCTTGAGGAGGCTCCCATAACACAACCCTGCCCCATCCCAGGCACTTTGCTCAGCCATCAATCCAGCTGCACTGCTAACATGAGCCCCATTGCTCAGTCCTGCTCAGTAAAATTGACAATGTGTGAGTCAAAACTAACAGCTCTGAAACACCAGGGTGCTGTCTGCTCTGTCCTGCTCTCCTCAGAGGTGTCCCAATGCAGCTTTGACCCGAAATCCTTCCAGCCTGGATTACAGGGTGCCAGATGCTGCAGTTTTACCCTCTCACTGTGCAGAATCACAGAATGGTTTGGAAGGGACATTAAAGCCCACTCCTTTCCACCTGCCGTGGGCAGGGACACCTTCCACTGTCCCAGGTTGCTTCAAACCCCGTCCAACCTGGCCTTGGACACTTCTAGGGATGGGACAGCCACAGCTTCTCTGGGCACCCTGTGCCAGGGCTGCCCAGCAAGAATTTATTCTTAATATCCCATCTAACCCTGACAAAATCTAAAAAGAATTTTTTCTCAATATCCCATCTAACCCTAACAAGAATTTATTCTCAATAATAAATAGAAGAATTTAACAAAAATTTATTCTCAATATCCCATCTAACCCTGCTCTCTGACAGTAAGATGCCATTCCCATTGTCCTGCCAATTCAGACCCTTGTCCAAAGTCCCTCTTCAGCTCTCCTGGAGCCCCCTGAGGCACTGGAAGGGGCTCTATGGTCTCCTCATACCTTTCTCTTCTCCAGGCCCAAACCCTACAAGGATGTGCCCACACTTTGAGCAGTGATGAGCTGCTCAGAGTTTCTTGCAGGTGATCACCAATATTCACTGCTGCACCATGCACTTGTCAAAAAAACCCTTCAGAAATCACAAAAGGGAGAAGGGAGGGCTAAAAAAAGCAGGGAGAAGAAGGGAGCTCTCTTACCTTGGTACTGGGAGGGAGACTCTGACGGGCGGCTGTACTTGTGCTTTTTACCATCTTTCCAGTCTATGGCTGAGACAAGAAACAGAGCATTTGTGTCAGGGCAAGGAGCCAGGCAATGCGCCCTTCTGCACTGTCTGTGGGGAGCAGTGACCTCCCTGTCCTGACCCCAGCAATGTGGATAATTTGCTTCCATCTCTGGGTGTGCTCCCTTCCTCTCCACAGGTACCTGACAGGAGGGATCCACATCTGCACCTCAATACCTGTTCAGTTCCCACCAGCCACTGTTCTCCTTTGGTGACAAGCAATAAAGAACAGCAAACTCCATCATTTTAGCTGTGAGAATAAGGGCTTGAGAGGAACAAACATAACAGCCACTAAAAATGGCTCATGAGGATCTTTGGTGCAGAATGGCTCCTTATGTATCAACTCCAGGTTACTCCACACAAGCAACCTCAGCCCTTAGTGGTGACTTTGAAAATCTGCACAAGTGTCCTCTCCACACACAACAGCAGTTTCCTTGTGTCCCTTGCTGCTCAGAGGAGAGCACAGCAAAGCAGCACCAGCTCTGCAGAGCAATTCACATGAACTGTTTTTGCACATGACAACTTTGGGTCTCAGAGCTCTAAAAATTTGAGGATCTCAAGACAGTTCTGGAAAGTGATAGAGCAAAAAGTGGGAATGCTCGTCCTGTCCCATGGCAGAGTTCACCCTGAGCAGCTCCTCAACCTGCTGCTGCCAGGCTGGCACCCTGGAGTGCAGCTCCTTTATTTTACAGATCATTTTTAGGGCTATTGTAGACAGCAGCTTGGTAGTGCCCTGTGAAATGTGCCTTGCCCCCATGAAAAACAGTTCCTTGTGAAAGGAAAAGGTTTGAAATCTGAGCAGTAGCTGGAAGAGGCAGGCTAAGAGCTGCCTCTAAAGTGGCCTGGGGTGTCTTGATGTGTCTGGAATTGCTTTGGGACAATTATTTTTACAATCTTCTCTTCTTGACATGTTCTTTTCAGCACAATGGACAGGACAGCCTGTAGGTTTTATGGCTCTGGAAAGTGATAGAGCAAGAAGTGGGGGATGCCCACCCTGCCTCCAACAGCCTCCAGCCCAACAGGGGGATGCCAGATCAGAATCCCTTAAATGAACACGAGGGACATATGGAGTGTGGCCACAGATTCCCTAGACATGGGCCAGACAAAGAGCCTCCTTGGAGAGACATAAATGAATGAAAAGGATTGAAGGACACCCTTCCTAATAAATGCATTACCACGAGGCACAGCATTGTGCCATGTCCCTAAGAAAGCAAGAATAAAGGACATAAAGTATTTAAGGCAGGAGCAAAGGAGCCCCCTGGGTGGGTAAGGCTCCCCTCAGTGCTGCAGGAAACTCTAACAGCATCCATGCACTCAAAGGAGCTTCTCACCACACTCTGCAGGTGAAGGTACATTTTGTTCTTAACCTTTAACATGCAAAAATCCTCATTAAGCAGGATACAAAAGCAGCAGAAAAGAGAGCGAAACAAGAATTTCCGCCGACAAATAAAGAAACAGAGCAAGTTCAATGCATTATTAAAAAAGCAGGTAAGTAGGACAGAAACCCACATGTGCACAGTGCAGGTGCTGCCTCTGCAGCCCACAGGCTGGCATTGTGAGCCCAGGTCACAGAGGCAGGCTGGCTGCAGGCTCCAGGAGCACAGAGAACAAGCTGTGAGTGAGGCTGAACCCAGCCAGCCTGGCCTGGGCCATGCTGCTGACTAATCAACCAGGCTCCTTTATTGCCAAGCCCTCCAGCTGCCTCACAGCAGGGTCTCCCCATTCCCTGCTTTCCTTCATTTATTTTCACTTCATTAAAGGACAAGCAGCGTTAGGAAGAGGATAATGCCGCTGTAAGATGAACCACGACAGAAGCAAAGGAGACATTTAAAAAAAAAAATAAAGGGAGCAGAGAAATCGAGCATAGAAATCTCCTGCAATAAACCTTGGGAGTGTGGAGCAGATGTGAACAAAGAGCTGTGGAGGATGCTCCATCCTCTCCCTTCTCCCTTCCCCCCTCCTCCCTGATGAGATCACTCCAGTCAGACGCACATGCATGGCACAGCACTAAAGGAAATCAATATTTCTGTTCAGCACAAGAAGCCAGAGCAGCTCAGCCTGCTTGGCTTCACCCTTTTTGTTGGGGATGCAGGACCCAGGAAGCACGTGCTGAGCGAGGGGCCAAGGGACTGGGTGGCAGGGGAACCTCCTGACAGATTTCCTCTCCACAAGGCAGGCTGGTTTCTGGTTTCATGCCTCATTAGAGGGGGAGGCTGTGCCAGCTCAGGCAGTTTGCCTCATGCTGGGAGCTCTGCCAGATGGTGCCCTGGGTTCTGCAGGGCACCCTCCATGAGCTGCAGGGATGCCCCTAAAAAGGACTCTCCTCTTCCTGTCACAGAGGGGATTGATGAACTGCTCTCTGCACATGGATTGAGAAACACAACTCAGTTTTGGGCTTCCAGCCACATCCCCTCAGCTCCCACCCCACTGAGGCACTCAGGCCATGCCAGCTCACTGCAGGGCCCTTGGCTGTGCCAAATCACTGCTCACCTTTCTGAGGGCCTGGTTTCCGCATTCTACCACCTGCTTCTGTCCTTATCCTGGGACTGGGCTGCTCTTACAGGACTGAAGATGTCTAGGACAAAAGAAACAAAGATGAGAAAATTGCCCATTCTGGAGCACACAGTCATCTGCAGCATTAACTCATCACACAGTGGGGGGAAAACCACATTCTGTCACCTGGGGTAGCACAGAACACACAAAACTCATTTCACCCCCTCAAACTTTTTCCAATTTGTGGGCAACAACAAATTCATGGCAGCAGGAATAAGCACAAGGAGCTCATGGCTGTCTCTGTGCTAACCCTACAGCGGGTCCAGAGCGTGTGTGTGGAAGGAGGGGCTGCTCCCACTCACTAACAAAGGGAGGCAGAGCTGGAATTTATGAAAGAAAACACACGGAAACATAACATTAACTCTGGCAAGGCAGCACAGCAATCCCCAGCTTGCCACTTACAATTCAAATTGCTCACAGCAGTTCTGGGGAATAAGGATGAGAAATTGGACAATGACCCAGGAAATACTTTTGCTGTTAGTACTGCCACGAGTGTCCAAGTTGTGCTGCAATTTTTGTTTTCCTGGTTGGAGAAAAACTGCCTGGACTGTGCCCAAAAAGCAAAGGCATTTGCATTCTTGTTATAAAGAAATATTGCTGAAAAATCAGAGCTCCTGGGAGATGTGTGGTGGTCATGTACAGGCACCCAACACAAGCACTCTCACAGGGCAGAGCTGCCACACCCACACAGCCCTGCCAAGCCCTGCCACAAAACACCCAAATGAATGGCTGAGCCACAAACCAGCCCTTGGGAAAGCCACGAATAGCATGTTTTGACACTCCACTAACTAATGAAAGATTAATTGTATCAATATAATTCCATTTTGTTCACAGTGGGGCAGTCAGGAGAAGGAGGAAGCTGTCTCAGGACGCAGCACTGAGTGGCTGCTTAAAGGTTATTTACAGATCCAACTTGGCAAGAGTTTGGGGTTTTGAAAACCAGGCTTTTTCTACATGTAAGAGAAATAGAGTTTAATTTGCTGTAACAGCTCTACAAACTACAGCCTCTTTACATGCAACACTGAGCAATACTCTGAGAAGAAAAATACTGAATGATTATTAAATACTGGTTGTTTTTTAATCCAAATCAAAAGGTGCACAGTAGTCACTTATTGCCTCTCTCCTAAATAGTGTGTGTGTCTGTACACACTTGTGAAAGGAGTAAGGTTGGTTTCTCTTTCAATAGCAGAAGGTAACCTACATGTGAAAGGTTATTTACAACTTTTAAGGTTTCTTTTCATAATTTTCTTCAGTCATTTTTATTAAAGGCTAGCAGTCCTGACAGGAAAAGTCCCCTAGACATAAAAACCAGGCTGAAAGGTGTTTATTTATAAAGGCACCAGACAAGCATTCTGCATCTCTGGCTCTTCCCCTCTGCTGTTTGTGGGACTTTCTCAAGTACCCACACACATAAATCTCATGGCACAGGAGTTCCTGTGCCCCTCTGAGGGCTTCTGAAAAGCTGCTTCAGCCTGAGCACCTCAGAACCCTGCTGGCAGGGATGTGTGACCTGTTCCCTTCAGAAGTATTGGAAGAAAAAACATTGTGACTGTGTTTGAGCTGCTCAGACAGGGTTTGTGAAAGGTTATGGCCCAATAACCTAATGAGGCTGAGGGGGACCTTGTCACCCTCCAAAACTCCCTGACAGGAGAGGACACACAGGTGAGGGTCAGAGGGACCTTGTTACCCTCCAAAACTCCCTGACAGGAGGGGCAGACAGGTGAGGGTCAGTCTTTTCTTCAATGGAACAGTTCAAGAGGAAACAGCCTCAAGATGTGCCAGGGGAGGTTCAAGTTGGACACCAGCAAGAATTTCTTCACAGAAAGGGGTGTCAAGCATGGGAATGGGCTGTTCAGGGAGGTGGTGGTTGCTGAAGAAGTGTCTGGATGTGGCTCTGGTGTAGTGGACATGGTGGTGTTTGGTCTTGATCTTGGAGGTATTTTCCAACCTTAATGATTCTGTAATTCTCTGATCCTTATAAAGCACAGAGCTGACTGCTGGTATCCCTCAGTCAACACTGCAGCAGGCTCTCAGCAAGATCTCGTGTCATGGAAGAGAATGAGATGTTGTAAATGTCCAATTTAAATAAACAAATAAACAAATGGTGACTCTTCCCCAAAGGAGGAAACTTAAGCTGCATGGGGATCCCACTTGCTGAGAGCCACATGAGTGCCAGCTCAAGGACACTGTACTCTGAAATACACTCTAAAATATGCTTCTAAGAAACTTCCCAAATGTGACAGCCCCAGCCTGACTCCTGCGAGCCTCCATGAGCCTCTGACACAGCTCTGCACCACCCAGATTCCCTGTACTTCTCACACCATAGGACAGCAATATGTGGGTTAATCCTGCAAAATCATAATTCAAGGGGAAAAAAAAAAGCAAAATAATTAGAGTGCTCAGAGTCATGTAATGCCTGGAGAAGAGGCAGAGCCAAACTCCATGATGCAAACTCCAGGGGCCACCAGCCTCACTGCATCCCAGGGACAGGGACAGGGCCAAGGACAGCTCCTGCCCTAGGATGCAGGGATGTCCTCCTTCAGCCATGGAGACAGACACCGTACAATCCCAGCTGGGAGGGATCCACAAGCATCACCAAATCCAGCTCCTGGCCTGTCACAGAAGCCCCAGCAGTCCCACCCTGGGGTGTGTGACAGTGTTGTCCAAATGCTCCTGGAGTTCTGGCAGGCTGAGGGTCATGCCCATTTCCTGGGGAAAGAACCTTTTCCTTACATCCAGCCTGACCCTGCCCTGACACAGTTCCAGCCACTCCCTTGTCACAGGGAGCACAGACAGGAGCTGCCCCTGGGCTTTACTAACACAGGGCTTGGGAACTGATCATTTCCACTGACTGTAATTTATAGCTGCCCAGAGGAGCTGTAAAATCTCCACCCTTGGAGATACTCCAAACATCAGCAGCTCCCTCCCCTGCCAGCCTGATCTCACCTTGTACCTGACTCTGACTTCAAAGTCAGCCCATCTCCGCATGCAGCATTGGAGCAGACAACCTCTGAAAGCTCCTTCCAGCCTGAAACACCCAGGGACTTTATCTCACTGCATGGCAGGAGGAATCACTCTACAGGTTTTGACAAGGCTGAAATGCCCCAGTGAGGAGAATTCAGTGTAGAGAGAAGAAAGTCAAAGGCAGAACAGACAAGCCCACAGGCACCTGTGGACAGGACAACCATGGTACCAATGGATGCAACCTTTACTCCATTCAGGGACTGAAGATTGAGAAAACGTGAAGGTAATAAATAGCAGAAGGTACAGACAAGGAGGAAAACCAGGCTACCCACAGAGACAGATCTTCCAGAATCACCCCAGGCACAAATATGCCCCTGATGAGGACCTGCTGGCTGGATCCATGGCACAGAGGACACAATCTTACTGTTGCATCAAATAAAGCCTTTGAGATTTCCACAGCCCAGCACACGCGGCAATGCTCCATCTCCAGAGCCTGACACTTGCACAGAGCTGCACAGCAGAGTTCAAACTCCCCTTGTTTTCAAAAGCTGCGTTCCTCCTGCTTGTGGAGATCAAGATAATCTCCCAAGCATGAACTACAGCATTACAGAGTGCTGGCTTCCAGAATTTATAACCTGAAAGGACAGATCAATGTGCAAATTCACTTCAGCAGGATGCTACCTTAAAAAAGTAAAAAAGACCAACTAATTTGCTGCCTTTAGTAGCGGATGAAGTTCCTCTCCCAGAGTTTCAAACAACTTTCACTCACCAAGATATCAAAAGTGCCAAGGGCTCCACTGAACTGTCATGGGCTCTAGTTCCCCATCACTCCTACAAGACAGCAGAGTCAGTACAAACACTGCGGCATAGCAAAACCTGAAAGCACAGAGACAAAATGAAAAAGTTTGCATTTAATTGCAGAAAGGCTAAGTTACCAGCTGCATAATTCATGTTCATATTTAATTCATTTAAAACATCCAAATTTAAATTTAAAGACAGCTGTAACAAACATTCCCACTTGCACTCACAAAGCAGCACAGAACTTGACACAATTTAAGTTGAGCTTGCAGTGAGTACACGGGACTGCGGCTGTTAAACACCTTTGATATGAGTAAGATCACATCAACTGAGCTGATAGAAACTAGTTCAGCTTTTGTAAAATGAAACTATCACACAAAGGAGGATTGAAAAGACTAGACCTGATTAGTAATGAAAAGGAGAGAGACCACAGGAGAGGCACATAAAATAATGAGTAGCATGAAGAGAGAGAACTGGGGACTCCAAATTATCCCTTCCCAGTGCAGCAGAGCAAACCTACAAAAGTAAAAAACTCCCAAGTATATACCAGGGAGAAGGAACAGTTCATTGGAAATTAATAGACATGCAACTTCCTTGTGGAGGAAGTTATCAAGAGAAGCAAATGAGTAACCTTAGAAATGACAGACATCGAAAAGCAAAGCAGCATTTGTAGGAGTATCAAAGCATGAGACCCCCGGGCCATCAGTACCCAGGCCCCAAGCAAGAGCTGAATGAAGGCTGGTGCCCAGCCAAACCCTGCCCACCACATCACTGCCTCAGCTGCTGTGCTGGGGCAAGGAAAAGCTGAGCCTTGCCTGCTGCCAGGCTGCTGACCCCACTCACAGCCAGGGGCAGGACACAGCTCAGGACATGGTTTGTTCACTGCCTGGTGAGTTACACTGAGATTCACACCTCTGATGCACTTTCCTTTTTCTCAGGCAGGCAGGCAGGGCTGGAACAGCATCCCAGGGCATCCCCAGCTCCTGCAGCACTGCACAGCCTGCAGCAACGCTGTGAAAATGCATCTTAATCTAATTAAGTTCTCCCCCCACTGATCTTGCCAACAGGCTCTTCCAAAAGCTCATCCCTAAGGGCAGTCAGATTCAATTTACCTGTGCCAGATTGGAAGGCAACTGCAGGGTTACAGGGGAGCCTACTCCGCAATATTCTTCCACAAAATGTGGCAAATGCAATATCAGTAAAACAAAAATGAGAAAATGTGGATGGAAGATGCTGTCCCATCTTTCCAGACCTCATGAGATGCATGTAATCCCTTTATCTCCAAAGCCTCTGCTCCTTCAGAGTGCATAATTATCAAAGGAGTTAGAGCAGAGGCTCTTAATGTCTCTTCTAGGCACTTCTTTGTTCCACTCAAGGCACCAGTCACATCTGAATTATTTCCTGGGGTTGTTTGGACTTCCTATTATACAAGGATGATTATGGTGAACCTTGGGATGGAGTCCAAGTGGGATCTCAGCACTCCCATGTGCGATTGAAAGGGAACCTGAAGGTTTGCTGACAGCGTGCCAAGCTTCAAACCTCGCTGGACAATGGCACTGCCAGCAGGCCAGAGGCTTTCAGAGAAGAGGAAGAAAACCACCAGCAGTGAGGCTGGAAAATGGTTTTATTAGGTCAGATACATAGCCACAGATTAGGATTCGGAGGAAAAAAGGAAACTCTGCATATTGACAGAGGACTGTGAGAATGACGCTCCTTGGAAATCCCATGGGGCTGCCAAAAGAGAATCCTGACAGTTTCTCATGATGCAAAGTGCCTGCAGTCATTGATTTGTTCCCCACAAAAGCACAGGGCTGGAGCACCACGACCACTGCAGCCACTAAAAATCCCTTCCATGTAACCTCTGCTTCAGCTGAGGTTTTCTCCACAGTGATGTTTCCATCAAACCCCATCAATGTTTCCAGCAGTAAAGAGCTGTCCCTTACAAATTCCCTCAGGAATTCCCTCAGGAAATGTGAGGGCAGCCCTGTAAGCTCCTGCCTGTCACGGGTGATGGCAGTGCTGCCATTCCAGCCTCCCTGCTGGGATGTTTCAGCTCCATTCTGGAAGCCCCTGTGTGATACAGGCACATCCAGTGCAGAAAATCAGGCACATAATGAGCAGATAATGTGAATTACAGAATATCCTGAGCTGGGAGGGATCCATAAGGATCATCAGTTCCAACTCCTGATCCCACACAGGACATCCCAACAATCCCACCCTGTCCCTGAGAGCATTTTCCAGACTGAGCTTTGGCAGCCTTGGAACCATGACCCTTCCCTGGAACCCTGTTCAGTGCTCCATGACCCTCTAGGGGAAGAACCTTTCCCAAACTCAGCCTGCTTGCTCATTTAACACCTTTTTTGCCATTTTTAATTTCTATGGTGCAGAAAGAAAAAGCACTTTCAGCCTACCTGAGAAATCAGAGGAATGTCAGTGTACAATCTGACTCCTCTTTTAGTTTTCACACCAGACTTGGCTCCTCAGATTTCTGCCTGTGGACACCAGAACTTTTGCTGGTCTAAACCCCAGTTTTTGCTCTCAAGGCATGCTTTGATGAGCCAATTTACTGACCCCTTTCCTGGGCAGAAGCCAAAGACCAGCTCCCAGGACTGAGCTCCAGCCTTCTTGGAGCCAGACATGCAGACAAGGAGTCCTAACCAAAATGCCAAATGAATGTTTATGTGGGACCTGGAGCGAACCCTCAGGAGTGATCAGTTTGAAACCCAGTTTGAAAAGGTGAGTCAGAATTTATCTTAAACAATGATTTGAGTTCCTTCCACCTCCCTGTTCCCAGACTCCTGAGCAAGACTGGAGTTTTATTTCTCCTAGTCTGTGCAAAGTCACATTTTTGGCAGCTTCAAACAAAGGCTGATGAACATACAGCACCTCTGGAAGCATCTCCCCTCATCAGGTCAGGAGAGCCCTTACATTCACACCAGGGACTATTTCTAAGTAACACTGTACAATGAATGCTGGTAATTCCATCTGCAGCACTGATCCCCTTGTGTGATCTGAAATACCTGATGGCTGCAAACCGTTACTCCTCTTTCTACCAGAAAGATTTTCTGTTATTTCCAACCTCTCTCATTCTCTGGAATTAATTTTATCCTTCTATCATGTAAGAAGTGGACTGATGAACTCCAGACTTCATGACAGGCTCCTCACAAACACATTCTTGTGTTAACACACTGAGGTGTCTCAAAGATGTGATCACAAGGAAAACACTTCCTCAGCCCCCTGAGCCAAGTCTCACGGGATTACATAGTTTAAAAGACAAAAACACGTGAAAAACTTGGATAGACCATGTTTCTACAATGAAAATATTGATTTTATGACTTCCTTTTGAACACCTTCAGGTTAGTGGGGAGAGAAAATAAGTCAGCCCCCCAGAAAATGGCAGCTGGACCACCAGATATTGCTGAGTCAAGCTCAAGAGATCACCCTTAGGGTGAGTACAAAAACCAGTGAGAGGAACCACCACTGTGAGCAAAGCTACAACAGTCACTACTGCTCATGGCTGTGGAAGAAATTAAATAAAACCTTGCAGGATTTCAATAAAAATTTCTTTCCTATGCAAAAATAAACCCAAAAGACCAACTCACACACAAAAAAAACCAAAAAAAACCCCAAACCAAAAAACAAAACCAAAATAAACCCAACAAAACCAGCATGGGTCTTGGATCAAACCAAAACCATCCTGACATGTATCACTGTGAGCAGACCTAGCTCTCCACAAAGACTGAAGAGGCTGCAATAAAGACAACATATTTGGCACACTCCAGGAACAGGATACCAGGCTGAGAGAAATGGAGAGATGAAAGGGCTTCAAATAAAAGACAAATAAGATAATCTGACTTGAGTCTGCTAAAGGAAGCCCCTTAAGAGGATGAATTTTCTCAGCACAGACATGTTTACTGATGAGCTGGGAGTTACAGCTCTGTGAATGCCATTTCTGTAGTGAGGGGGGAGAGCACTCCAGCCCTGCTTGGAAAAATCCTCCTTGGAAAGAAGGGGCTCTGTAGGAGAGATGGGGGTAGGATGGTGGGGAGGGACAGAGAGCAGAGATCTCTGCAGCCAGGGCTGGGAACCTGTGGGTTATTGCAAAGGGCCTGGGTGCAGGGCCCTGCTGGGAGCTGCCAAACACAGCTCAGAGCAGGGCCCAGAGAAGAGAGGGGGAGAGAGTGAGAGGGGTAAAGAGAGTAAAAGGGTAAGAGCACAAGGTTCCTGTTACAATACCATAAATCTTCTTCTGTGTTATAATATTCTAATTCTGAGAATTAGAATATTCTCATTCTCACTTAACCAATCTAGTACAAGATACAAATCCTACAGCATTTCCATACAGCCTATAAGAATCACTACATGACCACACTGGGTTACATTTTAAACCCTAAAAACTCCTCTTTGGGCCCCTTCTGCCAAGCTGGCAGGGTCTGCTCTGAGCCTTGGGCCTGTCTGCAAGCAGAGGGGATTGTTTGATCCAAAGGGGATCACCTTCAGCTGGCCATGCCATTGTTTTCCAGTTGAGTAACTGAGGGATCTCAAAGCTTGCTTTCAATTCAATCTCGCTTAGAGTTTCCATATTCTCAAAATCTTTTGCCAGGCAATCATATTTATAAGGCTTTCCTGTTTCACCTTCCCCAACAGGGCTTGACTGCTCTGAGAAGTTCACACACTGCTGAAAAATCAGAGGTGCTTTTAAGACTGGTATTGGTTTCCCACCCACTCCAATAGAAAGAAACCAGTGCAAAACCTAATGCAGGGAACATGGAGTCATGGAGTGGTTTGGGTCAGAAGGGAGGTCAAAGATCCTTCTGTTCCAACCCCTGGACATGGGCAGGGATTCACAGCACTCACAGGATCCTGTGCTGCTCCTCCCCACACAGAACCATGTCCTAGGCTTGAAGCCAGGGCCTGGGCTGCCTCCCACTGCAGTGGCCCACCTTGAAATCGTGCTGATGTGGCACAGACCTCATGTAATCACACAAATCCCCTGTGGTAACAGCTAGGGGTGAGGAAACTTCACCATGCTCCAGAATTATTTCAGCAAGTCCTTCATGGCTGGTCCTACTGCTGAA